TTTCTCTGATCTTGGTTTCTCGTTTTATTTCATTGAGTTGATCTTTGACTTCTGATATTCTTTCTTCTGCTTGGTCAATTCGGCTATTGAAACTTGTGCATGCTTCGCAAAGTTCTCGTATTGTGTTTTTCAGCTCCTTTAATTCATTCATATTCCTCTCTAAGTTATCCATTCTTGTTATCATTTCCTCAAATCTTTTTTCAAATCTTTTTTCAAGGTTCTTAGTTTCTTTGCATTGATTTACAACATGTTCTTTTTGCTCAAAAAAGTTTCTCATTATCCACCTTCTGAAGTCTAATTCCATCATTTCGTCACAGTCATTCTCCATCTAGCTTTGTTCCCTTGCTGGTGAGGAGTTTTGGTCCTTTCTAGGAGGCGAGGTGTTCTGGTTTTGGCTGTTTTCCTCCTTTTTGTGCTGGTTTCTTCCCATCTTTGTGGATTTATTCACCTGTCGTCTGTGTAGTTGCTGACTTTTCAGTTGGGTCTCTGAGTGGATGCCCAGATTGTTGATGATGAAGTATTTCTGTTACTTGGTTTTCCTTCTACCAGTCTAGCCCGTCCTCTGTACGACTGCTGAGGTCCACTCCAGGCCCTGCTTGTCTGGGGTGCACCTCTAGCAGCTGTGGCACAGTGAGGGATGCTACCAGTTTCTTTTTCTGCTATCTTTGTCCCAGAATGATGCCTGCCAAATGTCAGTGTTTTGGATATAGAGGGTTCAGGGAGCTGTTTGGGGAGACAGTCTGTACTTTATAGGAGCTCAAGTGCTGAGCTGTGAGCTCTGTTGTTCATTCAGGGCTGTTAGGCTGCTATGTTTAATTCTGCTGCAACAGAACTCATTAAAAGACCCTTTTTTTTCAGATGCTCTGTCTCGGGGGTGTTGGGGCTTTCTTTGTGAGTGTCCGTTGTGCTGTCCTGCCCAGCTAGGAGGCAGTCTAGTCACTATTTGCCTGCAGAGGCTCTGCCCTGCTGGTGTGAGGTTTGCCCTGTTGCTGCAGGCTCTGCTGTGCTGCTGCGGTCTCCGCCCTGCTGCCACGGGCTACACCCTGCGTTGGAGTCTCTCTGTTATAGCAGGTTGCCTTGGCAATGGCAGGCTGTGTCAGCAATGGGCGTTTAGGGGCGGATTGCCTCGGTAATGGTGGACACCCCTCCCCCAAGGAGCTGCACCATCCTGGGTTCCGCTGTGCCCTCAGAGAACCTCTCCACCCGGAGCGTTTGGAATCGCCGTTTTGTTTGTCCCACTGCACTACCCCAAACTCTGTTTCCCTGGAATCTCCTGGGCTGGCTCACTGTCCAAGTCCCATTCAGTCTCAAGTTCAGCCCTCTGAAGTCTCCGATTGCCAGTTCAACAGGGTACCTGGACCAGTGTGCTCTGTGCGGAGCACTGTGTAGTGCCCCTGCGCTACAGCGCCGGCTGCACCAGCCAAAACCTCTGCCTGGTGTCCCCCATCCCTTTTATACCTGAGAATTTCCCCATTTTGTGGGCAACAAAGATCAGTCTGGAAATGTGTCCCTGACTCACCCTCTCCATGCATTCACCGAGAGCTTCAATCCTGGGTTGTTCTCACTGTGCCATCTTGAGTCCCCCCTATAATTTTTATTCATCAATTGTACTTAGTAAAGTTGGCAGGGACAAAGACAAGTAAGCAAAGAAAATGGTAAACAGGAAAATCCAAATAAATGTTGGCCAAATGAAAAAAGGGACTAATGCGGGTTAGATCATTAGTGAGTTTTTTTTTTTCATTGAGAACATCATATAATCTGGACTACAGTGTTTGGCTCAGAGATAGTCCCATGACCCAAGCCAAGCCAGTGTGCTACAGTCAGAAGCAATCTTGAGACACAGCACAGTACATTCCGAGAACAGCAGATATTTGGCTGTATTTGGAGAATTGGGGTTGGGAGAGTTGAGAAATGAAGCTAAAATGGTAGGCAGGGACAGTTCATGAAAGTCCTTTTATACTATGCTGGAGAATTTGGACTTTTTCCTGAAGCTATGGGAAACCATAAGTGATTTTAAAGCAGAGAATTTACATGATCACATTTATGCTTTAGAAAGATTAATCTGGTAGAAGTGTGAATGATGGGCCAGGGTTAGAAGAAGCAGAAAGCAAGACAATGAATTAAGATACCACAGAAGTTTGAGAATTGTTTTCTAGCTACACCTCTTGTTTTAACAAAGTGTACTAATTTTCAGAGAAGAAAGCAGAACAGTTCCACTTAAGACTATGCTTCTCAAAGTTTAATGTGCATAAAAATCATCTAGGGATCTTGCTAATGTGCAGATTTTTCTGTAGTTCTGGGGTAGGATCTGAGATTCTGCATATTTTAAAAAATACACAATCTAACTCTGTTGCCCAGGCTGGAGTGCAGTGGCATGATCTTGGGGCACTGCAACCTCCACCTCTGCCTCCCTGGTTCAAGCGATTCTCCAGCCTCAGCCTTCCAAGCAGCTGGGACTACAGGACTGCAAACAGGCACTACCACACCATCCTAATTTTTGTGTTTTTTTGAAGAGACAGGGTTTCACCATTTTGGCCAGGCTGGTTTTGAGCTCCTGGCCTCAAGTGATTTGCCTTCCTTGGGCTCCCAAAGTGCTGGGATTACAGGCATGAGCCACTGTGCCCAGCCAGATTCTGCTTTTTTTGAGACAGAGTCTTGCTCTGTGACTTAGGCTGGAATGCAGTGGCATGATCTTGGCTCACTGCAATCTCCACCTCCAGGTTCAAGCCATTCTCCTGCCTCAGGTTCCTGAGCAGCTGGGACTACAGGCATGCACCATCAGGCTCAGCTAATTTTTGTATTAGGGTTTCATCATATTGGCTAGGCTGGTCTTGAACTCCTGATCAGCTGCCTCACCCTCTGAAAGTGCTGGGATTACAAGCGTCAGCCATTGCGCCTGGCCAGATTCTGCATTTCTAACAAGCTTTCACTGATGCTGGTGCTGCTGGTCTGTACACGTTCACTTTGAGTAATAAAGGCTTATACTTTTTTGAGGTATGATTAGGTCATTCAAGTCAAATGTCCAGTGGCAGTGGACACAGGGGCTAGAGTTTAGGAAAGAGAGACTTGGGCTGGGAATATTTGGGAGTCATTGGCAAATAGGCAATTTTGGATGCTAGAATATGAGGTTAATGGCCCAGGAATAGTGTTTGGAGAAAAAGGATGAGAGGTCCATGGCTAGCCAGTAGGTAGTACCATTATTTAAGGGGCACTTGGAGGATGAAATGTAAGAAGGTCAAGAAGTAGCAGATGAACCTGGGATGCCAATGAGGCTTTTTAATGAGAAGCTTTTAGTTTTCAACCTTATTACATTAAAAATCTGAGTTAACAGCTACCATTTATTAAGCCTTTTATTCCTGGCACTGTGCCAAGGACTTCAACTTTTCTTGAAAACACAGGGTGTAAGAAGTGTGGTGTCACATTAAAACTTCTCTCTAAAAACATCCCAATGCTCTGCGCTAGTGGAAAATTTTATTTGGGTCATTAGTAGGATGTTCCACTACACACCAAGATTATATGAAGGTTCTAGGGGTCTTAGTCTCAGTGCAGTACATTTGGAAAAGGCCCTTGAGTCTTCATGCAATGCTGATTACTGTTAATATTCTCATTGTCACACCTCATTCATCCCTTGTAGGTGAGCTGTTTTTTTGATTTAATGCCAAGCTTGGGTATAAGGATCTTGGTCGTGGTTGGAATCTCAGATACCTAGCCTGCAATCTCCTTAATACGCTACACATTCATTCCCACCTAAGGTTCCACTACCTCCCTCCCGTTAGGTTCCTGATATTCACATAACCTGCAACTCTTCTTTTGTCATTTAGCTAGTTGCCACTTACTTCAACCAAACTCAAACGCCTCTAACCTCTCTCTACTGTGTGAAAACAGAAGTACCTCAATGGGCACAAGTGTTTTTGGTGAAAGGGACTTTTTATTCTGCCCTGGAGCTAGGGAAATCCCAGATCTGTGCCAGAGTTATCAAGGGGGTAGTATACAATCATTCTCTGCATTCTTTTACAGCACTGAGAACAAGTAAAATTCTTATCTTAGTATCTTTACAAATTATTTTACCACACGTGTTGTGAAACCCTACAACCATTCTATGCAGGAGTAATTCTCAGTTTACATCCTGAAGCTTTGATGAATTTAGAAACTTGCTTTAAGCCACAGAGCTATTAAGTAAAGTGTAGGTGCTGTAAACTATGTGCCTTGGACTCTGCAGCTTTGAGGGCGTGGTATTATCACAGTTCCTCTGGAAATACCTTGCTGGAGGTCACGTGTGAGTGGCAATGACCAGACAGAGAAACCGCATATACAGCTGGGATATCTCCGTGTTAGTGCTAGGCTTTTTTGGATCTTCATCGCAACGCTACTACCTCGATTTTACTATAAGAAATTAAGGTTTTGAGCGCACTGGTGATTTGCCCACTGCCACAAAGCCTGGACAATGGTCCAGGCGCGGTGGCTAACGCCTGTGATCCCGGCGGTTTGGGAGGCCGAGGAGGGTGGATTACCTGAACTCAGGAGTTCGAGACCAGGCTGGGCAACAGTGGCGAAACCCCCTTTCTAATAAAAATTTAAAAAATTAGCTGGGCGTGGTGGCGCGCGTCTGTAATCCTACCAATTCGGGAGGTTGAGGCTTGAGAATCGCTTGAACCAGGAGGCGGAGGCCGCAGTGAGGCAAGATCGAGCCCCTGCACTCCAGCCTGGCGACAGAGCGAGACTCTGTCTCAAAAACAACAAAACCAAGACAATGCTTGCGGGCTCTCAGTACGGTATTATTTTCATCTCACCAAACTGACTTGGCCTGAGCTACATTCAGAGTCTCCAACAAACTCCAATACAAGTAGGGTAATCTTCATTTTTAGGAGCCTTCCTTGGAGAGTCGTGGGGGAAACGCAAGCCTAGCATAGCGCAGCGCCTGAGGCTCCACCCTAGCTGCCTCTGAGCCCTACTCAGTACGCAGGCGTCAGGCGGTTTCTTCCGCTCGGCCCCTTTCCTTCGCTCCCTTCCCGCCACTGCCCGCCCCTTTCCCGCCCGGATGTTATTCTGGTTTTGCCGGATGTTGTTGTATGTCCGACAGACACGTGAGGTTCTGCTACGTCATCACCAGGCACGCTCAGGAAACATGGCGGCGGCGGGTGTTGTGAGCGGGAAGGTAGGTAACGGCTTCCAGGAAGATCTCTGCTTTTCTCTGGGACAGGATGCTTTTGCTCCTTGGCAGCTGGATGGGGGAGGGACACGAGGGACTTTCTATGTCAGGACAACTCGTGGCATCTGTAGGAGAAGACTGGTTGGTGTCAGCTGGTTTCCCAAAAATGCCAGTTTACCGCGGAGTTACAAAGCCGGCTCCTGTTCCAAGGCCAGCTGGGCCTTGGCGCTCTTCTGCCCCAGAGCAGAGAGGCTTTTATTCGTATTACCTTTACTAAGGGGCAGGTGGCTCTCTAGTTTCTTTTTTTCCTCTGATTCATTTTTCCTTGACTCTAGTTCTTTATGTCTACTCTTCTGACTCCAACGTCTTTTCTCTCTTTGAAGCGTAAACCCAACTTGCCCCGGTTTTCTTTGCTACACTCTGGTGAAAATGTCTATGCTTCCTTCGGGAGGAGCTGAATAGGTGCTGGGCAGCTGTGCCCTTAGAGAAAACGAGTGTACTGGGTCTGTTTTTACCAAGCTGCTGAGTTGGTTGGTGATTGTGAGCAGCGGGACGTGTTTCTTGAGAGAACTGAAGATTTACACCATCCTGCGCTTGTCTAGGAAGGCGTGTATTCAAATATTTATTTCCTAGACATTTCCGTGGGAGTAATGGTCATGCTGTTTTACGGAGGTGATCAGTGACACACTCCTAGTTCGTTGGAAACTAGGATTACGTGCGGTGATTTCGTCCTATAGTGCCTGTTCACGTTCCGAGGGAACATCTTATGTATAGTTAGGGCTATCAGCTTTACGATAAGCCACTGATGGTATTTCCCAGTGCAGTAGTATTTTCTAAACGGCTGGAATCAACTGAAGTGACTCATCGAACACTAAGGGTTGTTTACTCGTTGCAGATAGCGTCCTCTGTTCCTTGAGTTTCACTCATGTCTCCCTGTTGCCTTCCCTACCCCATTTTGAATTATTCGACAGAGTTTGTCGTTTGGTGTTTGGAATGTTAGACCAGGCGGCTGAATAACAGATATGGGCTGGGTTTTGCTGTTAATCTGAAGTGTGACCTTGGAAAATTGGGCAGTTGTGACTTCTCTGTCTTTCCCGTTCTTTATCTGCAGAACGGAGGAGATGCCAATCATTATTTCTTGTATTGGAATTGTTAGGGTTATGTGAATTAAAAAAAAAAAAAGCCATAAAATTACATACTTGTACGTACTAGCTCTTTTAAATGATGAGTGGGCATCCTTTTTTGGATTATTCATGTTCCTTGGTTGTTTTGTCAGTTTTTTACTTTTTATATTAAGGGTGGATGCTGATACTCTGCTTGACTCGCTGCATATTTGAAGATTATCCTGTTTGATTTTCCGTCTAAACTGATCCAGGCTAAAACTTTTCCCTCCCCTCCCCCCTCCCCCCTCCCCTCCCCCTTTTCTTTCCTTTCTTTCTCTCTTTCTTCCTTCTTTTTGACGCTCAGGCTGGAGTCCAGTGGCACGATTTTGGATTACTGCAACCTCCACCTCCCAGATTCAAGCAATTCTCCTGCCTCAGGCTCCTGAGTAGCTGGGATTACAGGCGTGTGCCACCACGTCCAGCTACTTTTTTGTATTTTTAGTAGATAAGAGGGTTCACCATGTTGGTCAGGCTGGTCTCAAACTCCTGACTTCGTGATCCACCCACTTCGGCCTCCCAAAGTGCTGGGATTACAGGTGTGAGCCCGGCCCAGGCTAGGGCTTTTCAAGAGGGGATCCCTTCCATTTAAACATCTCCCTCTTTCAGGTTTGGATTGATTTTGAAAGAATCCTTGAGGCAATGAAGCAGAAATGACATTTTTCACTCTCCTTGCAGCTACTACCTTTCATAGTCTGACTTCTTAAAACTAGACTTATATTTCGTAACTCTACTTCATAACCTCATTTATTGTCATTCACTGCAAATTCACACCTGTTGCCATCACTCCACTGAAACTAGTTTTCCATGCCAAAAGCTACTCCTTTCCCAAATAATGCTATCATGAACAACAAAACCCACTTATTCTCTCGGTAAGTTCGGATCTGGTTTAATGGCATCATCTTTACCTGGTTGCATGTTAAACATACTTGGAGGCATTCATTCCTATAACAAACTAATCAGTAACCATGTCCTACCAGTTTTACCTTAAGAAACCTACCAGGTTTCTTTAATTTCCTGTATCTTCTTAGATAGTTCAGGCTTTTAGTTTTTTTTTGAGATGGAGTTTTCGCTCGTTACCCAGGCTGGAGTGCAATGGCGCGATCTCAGCTCACCGCAGTCTCTGCCTCCTGGGTTCAGGCAGTTCTCCTGCCTCAGCCTCCTGAGAAGCTGGGATTACAGGCACGCGCCACCATGCCCAGCAAATTTTTTATTTTTAGTAGAGACGGGGTTTCACCATGTTGACCAGGATGGTCTCGATCTCTTGACCTTGTGATCCATCCACCTCGGCCCCCCAAAGTGCTGGGATTACAGGCGTGAGCCACAGCGCCTGGCCCAGGCTTTTAGTTTTGCTGGATGTTGTTGTGTGTCCGAGAGACACTTGAGGTTCTGCTGCGTGTTCTGATTTATTCATTTCTTGGCTGATTTTACTCCTTGTCTACAGTCTCTGCCCTTAGTCTTCTCTACACCACCACTGGAATTATTTTTATAATGTGCAAATCTGATACTCTCTTGATTTAAAAAGCAAATGAAAATCCTTCACTTTTGATTTATTTATTTATTTATTTAAATAATAATCAAAGCTGGTTAATGTGACATAAAAAGACATGTTACTTTTATGCTTCCCTACTTCCTGGTCTTTTTTCTTTAGGAAAAGGGATGGGGAGAAAATGTATATGTGTATTTACTTATTCATTTCCCCTCTCCCTTCACCAAGGTTTAGCTAAGAGTTTTAGTTTAGAAATCCAGGGGAGTGAGTGTTAGCTAAGGCTTATAAAAATCACTTGTGATACTTTTTTAAAAAGTACAGATGCTGAGCTACCAGCTCTGTGGAATTAGAATCTCTCAGTAACTCCACCTAGGTTGTAACTTTTCTTACAACTCTACTTGCTTTGAACTTGGGAATCTCAGAAAGTGATGGAGGAAGTTAATCTCTGTCGTATAGGGAAGTAGCAAAAGGTAATGGTTAAGAGGTTGGTCGCTGAAGCTAATCTAGTTTTAGAAATTATCTTCACTCATTTACAAGCAACTTGAGTAAAATTACTTAATCTCTCTGTGCTTCACTATCCTCATCTGTGATATGATAACAGTACCTACTTTATGGGCTTGGTATGATGATTAATAGGTAAATATATTAGAACCTGTAGACTCACTAATCATCATGAGGTCAGATCTTGAAATGTTTAATCTGCACCTAGCATAGATTCTGGCACATAATAGGTATTCAGTGAAGAGGAAGAAGCAAGAAGGTATGAGAAAGTGAAGGTGTGGTGGCTCATGCCTGTAATCCCAGCACTTTGGGAGGCTGAGTTGTGAGGATAACTTGAGTTCAGGAGTTCAGGACCAGCCTGGACAACATAATAAGAACCCATCTCTATGAAAAATCAAAAAAATGTAGCTGGTTGTGGTGACATGTGCCTGTTGTCCCAGATATTTGGGAGGCTCAGGTGGGAGGATTGCTCGAGCCTGGGAGATGGAGGCTGCAGTGAGCTATGATGGTGCTTCTCCACTCCAGCTTGGGTGACAGAACAAGACCCTGTTTTTTTACAAAAAAAAGGAAAGGAGAAGAAAAGGAGGGGGGATTAGAGTGAGAGAAATGGGTTCACTAAAAGCTGTTTTGTTTCAAAGTTGTAAAATCTGATCGTACACTTCAGTTCACTCTAGGATTTACCATTGTATTAGAATTATTTTCTATTAAAAATTACTGGCCAGGTCCGGTGGCTTACGCCTGTAATCCCATCACTTTGGGAGGCTTAGGTGGGGGATCAGGAGGTCAGGAGTTGGAGACCAACCTGACCAAGATGATGAAACCCCATCTTTACTAAAAATACAAAAGCCAGGCATGGTGGTACACGCCTATAGTACCAGCTACTCGGGAGGCTAAGGCTGGAGAATTGCTTGAACCTAGGGGACAGAGATTGCAGTGAGCTGAGATTGCACCACTGCACTTCAGCCTGGGTGACAGGGGCAGACTCCTTCCCAAAAAAAGAGAAAGAGCTGGGTGCAGTGGCCCATGCCTGTAATCCCAGCACTTTGGGAGGCCAGGGCAGGCAGATCATGAGGTCAAGGGATCGAGACCATCCTGGCCAACATGGTGAAACCCTGTCTCGCTTAAAAACACAAAAATTAGCGGGGCATGGTGGCGCGTGCCTGTAGTCCCAACTAGTCGGGAGTTTGAGGCAGGAGAATCATTTGAACCTGGGAGATGGAGGTTGCACTTCAGCCTGGCGGCAGAGCAAGACTCTGTCAAAAAAAAAAAAAAAAAAAAAAGAGAGAAAATTAATTAAGACAGTAGGGAAATCAGCTGTTTTTTTTTTCTTAATCAGAATTTGTGATGGCATTTTTAGTAAGAATTTATTTCATAGCTTAAAATTGGCCCTAACCAATTCTTTTAAAATATGCTCATAGTCCTGTGAAATTTTTGTACTTTAGACAGATGGATATTCTCAGTATCTAGATTTTCCTGGAGACTTGTTTCCTATACTAGATATTGTAGCATGGTAGTTACCTAGGGTATAATAGGAGTATGTATTATTGTTAAATTTTTCTGGCATTCTTGAGTTCAACAAACATTTTCATATCTACTATACTGAGTTCTTTGGATACAAGGGTGGTTAAACACAGTCTTGTATTATTATTGTCATTTTTTTTTTGGGACAGTCTTTCTTTGTCACCCAGGCTGGAGTGCAGTGGTGTGGTCATGGATCATTGCAGCCCTTACTATGTGTGTCCTCAAACTCCTAAATTGTTCCTGTCTTCTATCTGACTTAGCTTGGCACATTGATATCCTTGAGAAACAATACTAGTTCTGCCTTCTGCCCTTCCTTGAGAGTTGTACCATTCGAT